ATTTATTGTCGCTGAGACTGTTTTTGATGGTTTTATTGTGGCGGTCATACTTTCGCAGTCAATCAAAATGACTCATTGCATCCTTTACAGAATGTACAAGGTCATTTTCCTGACTTTAGTGGCATTCGCTGTGGGACTCAAAAAATTCGAACCCATCAAGCTTGTACCGGTACGTGAGACCAAATTATTTAAGGCTAGCGACGGTCCTTGCCAAGATGGTGTGAATAATGTGATCGAGTTGGCTGACACGGGTAAGTATGAGTGTTCGTTACAGTACAAGAAAACCATTGTACTATTATGCAGGAGACTACAACATTCAAACAGAAGGTCTAACCATTCAGACCTACGATGCCGAATTCAATCCAAGTTGTAGCAATGGTCGTGCCAAGATATCACTTCCGGGAATCATTACTCTTGCCAAAGGTGACACGTCTTTGAAAACATTATATAGTTTCAATGACAATCTCGTTCTAGGAAAAATCATTGTTCGCCAAGCTTCGGATTTGGAGCACATGCGCCAGTTGCTGCTGTACTATACCCTGAAGGGTAATGTAGGCGATATTTGTGTAAATGGACATCCACGAGGTCCTTTGAGGGCTGCAGCGCGAAATCCTTGGTGAGCACTTGATATCAATTCACCCTTTACCCTTCACTTTTTATTACACCGTTTTAGTCGTTACGACATTAGTCCAGTTGGTAAGAAGCTTCCACTGGGATTCTATCAAATGCTAAGCAAACCGGGCACTTATGACTTGGAGGAAGTCAGTCGGTGATGAGATTGACAGCCTTCCAATAGCCTTCCAAATGCCTTATTTCAGATTGCTGAAGCTGGTGGCATTGCAACAATCATACCTATGGATTACTTCCCACAGGCTTATGTAAGTGTACAAAATACATAACCGTGCCAAAAGATCCGACGAAGTAACTTAATTTTTTATTTTAAAAAATAACTGAAAAAAGGGAAAATCGAAGAATGATTTGAATTTCAAATTTTTGGCAGCTTTCTGCAACTTGCAACGTTGTACAAAGAAATTGCATTGACGATGTGTAAACATCGCATTAACCAAGAATGCGCGGTCTGACTTTTGCTCGTGACTCGTCAAATTAGGTGATTCAAGAAAGGAGGATGAATTACCTAAGTTCGTGAATCTCCCAAGCTCCGAAGACCTGAAAAAGTGGAGCAAGAGATGAGGGTGAATTACCTAATTTCACGTGTACAAGACGCACTTTTTTCTGGGCTTGACAGCCTGGACAACACTGTTGCGCTAGTGCGGTCGAGCGGTTTTTGTGAAAGAACAACAAAGATGGGTCCTGTACTCGTGAAATTGAGGTAAAAGATCATAGGCCCAAAGTACGCAACTTTCTTCTCACTCATAGTCGATAGGCCAATACACTCATTCCTCTATTGATGAACATCTATCCAACATTCATCATCTTTGTTAGAAGCTTTCAAGTCACCGAAACATTAGTTTACCTTGGTGCCAGGTTTCGATTTGTCTTCAGCTTCCATTTCTTCTTTTTGACCGAGCAAACCTCTAACAATACTTTGTGTGCAGTCACTGCTCCCGTGCTTGATTAAAGCTTTTAACGTTTTT